CTTTTTTAATGACATTTTCCATAGCATATAACACTTTAAGCTAGCATTTACCACTTCCATTCATTTATCAAACGCAATAATATTTTTTTTCCACTTTTGTCTAGTTTTTTATCATTCGCGCCGAGACTAAAACGTGTGCATGTCCGTAAATGATGAAATATGGTTCTACTGGAGTGGAACATCTGGTACCGTCCACAGCTTTGGATTTATGCAGTCGTGGTGGTTACAAATTGAGCGGGTCTATAGGACGTATAACAGAAAGCAGAAAGTTGGGTGTGAGTCGATAATAAAACATACTCGATGTTCATCTGGAAGTAATCTATCAGCGTGGAAAGTACCAAATCTCTCTCCAGCTGCGGATCCCACTCCAGCCACTTAGCGGGGCGGAGGTAACAGGATACGGCTAATAGTTGAAGGAACACGTTTTCTTTCTGGACACTGAGTCGGGATCGGACACGACGGAGTTTGCACAAGACGTGACATGAGATTGGATCAACTTAACGACGTTACAGAGTGAGAAATTACAGGTTGAGGCTACAAAATTTTAATATTGCTCGAAGGTGCTGGTGCTGGTGCTATGTGTACTGGGTACAGCTCTGAGTGCCACCCTCCCGACCCAGAAATGGATTAAGGGGAAGAAAATGGATGGATGGTATAAAATTGCTCGAATCTGTAAATGTGTGTATATGATATAGACTCATTAATGCAAAGTGATGTATGTGAGCATCTGTTATAAATACAGTATGATTACAATCCAATTATCAACATTATAACAAAATTAAGCCTTGATATAGATCTCACATCTGACATATATCAAGTCCATTTATCTCACAGTAAATTGTACATAACATAATGAGTCTATATCATATACTGGGTTAACATTTTAAGAAAAGAAAATCAATGAACTTTTGGTGGCTCAGTTGGTAAAGCATTGGCCTTTGAGCCTGAAGAATGTGGGTTTGAGCCCACCATGAGACCTACTTCATGAGTCCCACTGATGACTGCTGTTGTTGTGTCCTTTGTCAAGACACTTAACCCCACTTTGCCTGAAGCTCCCGCTGAAAGATTTCAACTCCTGTGGACTCACCACCTGCAGGAGGATCAGTGAGGGGCTGGTGCTGTGTGTACTGGGGGTCGCTCTGACTGTCACCCCCCGACCCAGAAATGGATTTAGGGGAAGAAAATGGATGGATGGATGGATGAACTTTTGAATGATATTCTAATTTCACCTGTATCAATGGTTGCATGAAGGTGGTTTAGACTCCTGACTCTCTGTCTTCGGGTGGTTCCCTGTCAAGTTGGTGATCTATGAATGAATGTGGTGCATGAATGAAATTGTACTGGGTCAGCTCGTCAAAAACATGCATTATTGTAGAGATTATATACCAAAAAAAAGAGGTTACATCACCTTCTAAGTTTTTTGTCCAACCCAAATGTAAACTCAAGAATCTCATGAGATCATATTCCACATGTGTGCTCAATCTTCGGGGAGTTTCATGCCCTTCCCTTGTCCCATCCCAAATATTCAGCTGAGCCTAAAATGACTGGAATGCAAGATCTTTTTCTAGGTTTAGGTATTTGAAGTGACCTGAAAAACAAACTGGTTGCTATAATAATACATCGTACTTATATAGCGCTTTTTGGACACTCAAAGACGCTTTACAGAAGAAAAATAAGAAACAAAAGTAAAAGCTAAAAATAAACAGTTAAGTGTAGGCAGTTTTGAACCTTATAGAAACCTTAATATAGATTGGGCAATATATTAGCGTGAGATCGTACAGTATGTATTATAGTTATAAATAATACGTCATGATTTGTGTTATTTAATTATAAGAGTGAGATTAATACAACAAGAGTAGAAGTCTAACGGAATTTTGTTCAGAAACTCCAACCAGAAAATAATAATTAATAATAATAGTAATAATAATAATAAAATACCTCGTAAATTACTTCCACAGTTGATAGAAATATTGACACATTTTTAAAAGATATGCTTCAAACAAACATTCCACAATTAAAACAAAAAGATTCCGTGGTATTAAAGTGCAGCCAGAAATGAAGTTATGATCTCCGACAAACTACCGGTATTTTAATTTTATTTTTTGACCCCAGACAAACGTGACTTTTAACCCTCCTGCCACAGACGTAGTGGAGCAGTTGGGGCATTAGCAGTAGTAGATGCAGCAGTAGTCTCAGTACATTTTCCCCCTCTTCCTACACATTCCGTAGTCATTTGCCGCTGGATCCGTCGACATAAGAGCAGCGGCGACAGCGTTTTAAGTACATCTGCGGATAATGCATGGAGTGACAGGTCGTGAGTGCTCCCTGACTGACGTATTGATTGGTGAAAGCTGCATGAAGAAAGTAATTGCAACATTAAAGGCAGCGCTAAGTGTCTTTAAAACCATTTCGATTCCTTTGTAAATCATACCTGACGAGTTATTACGGGCCCGGCGCTTTTGTCTCCTCTCACGTCCTCAACTGAAGAACGACTCTATTACCGCGGCTAATTCCACAGCCGCCATCTCCAAGCATCAAACATTTACTGCATGTAAATACTCATGTGGAGAGATAAAGCATAATTTCATGGGACTTGTTGCGAGATAGGCCCTATTGTCTCCATTGTCAATGTATTTCTCCATCTGTTTTTATTACTAGTTATTAGCTACAGGTGAGACTTGGAGAATTAGAATATCGTTCAAGAGGCCATTTACTTCTGTAATGTCAAACTAATACGTAAAGTGGAATATATTAGGCCTGTATTTGTTATAATGTAGATAATTGTCTCAACAGCTTGTCAAAACTCCAAAAAAATAATCTCAGATGATTAGGCGACTTTTTAAAATGGACTGTAAGCCATAATTATCAAAATTAAACAACAAAGGCGTAAGTCACTCTGCATGTAATGAGTCTATATCATATACTGAGTTAACATTTTAAGAAATAAATGAACTTTTGGGGGCGACAGTGGCTCAGTTGGTAGAGCATTTGCCTTTGAGCCTGAAGAATGTGGGTTCGAGCTCACCATGAGACCTACTTCACGACTCCCATTGATGTCTGCTGTTGTTGTGTCCTTGCCTGGCCTGCCAAACGATATGCTTTTTCAAAGACATATAGTCTGGGAACGAGCTTGATCTCAGCGAATTCCCGGTGGGCGTGGTTGACAGACTGCATCAACCAATTAGATGCACACAGGATATGACGCAGCAACTAGCGGCACCCAAGCCGTTTCAGTAAACACAAAACAAGGGATGGCGGCATGTCAGCTAGTGCAAATGTAAACGACTGCTGTCGATTTTGTAACAAAAACTTAAAGATACGAGGAGTTATTAGCAACTCAAAGGTGAAAGGAAGTCCCGCCTCTCGGTGCGTGATTGGACCGATGTGGGTAAAATCGTGAAATGATAGGCTAGGAAGAGGTGTCCAGACGGTTCTTCTTTTGAACAGAAAGGAGGAGTGTCTGGCAGGCCAGGCAAGTTGTGTCCTTGGTCAAGACACTTAACCCCACTTTGCCTGAAGCTCCCGCTGAAAGAATTCAACTCCTGTGGACTCACCACCTGCAGGAGGATCAGTTAGAGGCTGGTGCTGTGTGTACTGAGGGCAGCTCTTACTGTCACCCCCTGACCCAGAAATGGATTAAGGGGAAGAAAATGGATGGATGAACTTTTGAATGATATGCTAATTTCAATGGTTGCATGGAGGTGTTTTTGACTCCTGACTCTCTGTCCTCGGTGTTTCCCTGTCAAGTTTGTGATCTATGAATGAATGTGGTGCAAAAACTATGTATTAAAATTGATTTATTCATTTTATTTGAGCAGAGATTTTACATTCATAAGTATTTACAAAATGTACATTCCTTTGTTTACATGACCTTTTGTACCTGTGCTTACAGTATATACTTACACATGCAAATATATAAACATAAATATATAATCAAGCAACAATATTTTCCATAGTTTCACCATATTTTGTTTATTTACATGTTAACTATGTTTCTACAAATGCATTTCTATTTACAATTTGTCAGCTTGAAATGCAGTGGGAAAAATCCATCTAACTTGTTCCTCACTCTTAAAACAGTTTGATTCCATCACTAGTTTTCTCATGCTCGTATTTTTTTCCTCTGTCACATCTTGAAATCAGATTTTACAGTGAAATAGAGAGCGCCTTCCCTGTCCCGGCCAATCAGCTCCTAGTATACAAAAGACCAAATGTTTTAGATAAAGGCAACATGTTGGTTCTCTTTCTGTTGGGACAAACAAAATGTATTCATTAAACAAAACAAAAAAAGTTGGCTTCTGCAGCTTTGAAGCTTTTGAAATTGTGCTAAGAACAACATGTTTTAGTTTTGTTTGTACAGATAATACCGGATTTATAAAGAAGGTCCTTGCTCTCTTTTATGGCGAGATACATTTAAAAGTTTTGCAATAAAGCGTAGAGATGAGCAAAAGGCCCTCGTCAATAGAAAAGTTAGTGCGTGCACCTTAAGGGAGAAATGTGTCCTCCGCTCTTGGCACTTCTGAACTGCAGTCGTGTCAACACTTTTTATGGATCGTGGTTTCATTTCCTGCGCTGATATTTTCATCCATTCGAACTAAAGTTTTGCTCTTCTTTGCTTTGCTCCACTGGTTTGAAATAATACATTTTTGCCCAAACGGAACAAAAGACTAGCATAGGTCTAGCAGAGGGGTCTCTAGGGTTATTATTTTATCCTGGGAAGTATTTTTTCCTCCAAACTTTAGCGTAAAAGTTGTATAAATTGACAGTCCCAATTAAGAGCTATTACCGGATAGAGCTGTATTGTCACTAATTAAAGTTTATGTGAACAGTGCTATCACTTGTTGAAGCATGGTATCTGCGCATAATACACGGTTAGAGATACTACGGAAAGTTTAAGTGCTCATTTACTGAATCTTCCTCAATACAACTCAATGAAAGTGGGTTGGGTTTTTTTTTTTTTTGGTGCTAATTATCTTTTCTCTGTTCTGTGGTCTCTGCAGCGTTAAACGAGCCCACCATAGACTACGGCTTCCAGAGGCTTCAGAAAGTTATCCCTCGACACCCTGGGGACCCGGAGAGGCTGCCCAAGGTAGGACTTCACAATTAAAACACTCACCGCCGCACTTAACTGGACACAAAAGGAGGAGCGGAGGCTGGGCGCTTTGTTGAACTACACTTTCTACTTTACAGACAAAACATTACATGAATCGCTGAACACTGGACAATGTATTAAAAGCTTGCGCCGGTGTCTTCGTGTCAGGGTCGGGTTTAAGCAGCAGAACTGACGGCCAAAGTGCAGCTCGTGTTAAAACAATGAGGAAAAACACTTGGAATCATACAGTTTTAGGTTCATAGTTAAATATCGGCAGTAGTCAAACTATATAAGAATAGTTTTTAGTTTTTTTTTTTAGACTTAGTTTTTGACTTTTTCAGTCTTGTAAAAGCAAAGGCAACAGACCTAAAAAGTAGGTCTTCATCCTATTAGACAACAGATTATCTTGTACATACTTGTAAGAATGATCCCTTTGATCACTGTTTGACATTTTGGGCTGCGAGCTGATTGGCTGAGTCAAGGCGGTCCTCAATTATTCACATTTCTGCCTGAAAAAGATGTGACAGAGGCCAAAAGTATAGACATGTGAAAACTAGTGATTGAACCAAACTAGTTTGATGGATTTTATTACACAGTTAACATTTTCTGTGTTTTGAAAGTTAGGTACCCAAGCTTTAAGATGTTTTAGTTGCTAACCAGAAGTAAATCTCCATCAAAATTGGGGGTTTTAGCCAAAAAAATCAATCAAATCAAGTTCAATCAAATCTCAAATGGATTTCTACAGTCAATTCAATTCAATGTATTTTTGTATAGCCCGGAATCACGACTGTAGCTATCTCGGTAGGACTTTACAAAGTTGTCGATGTATCAACACAGATCTGAGAACACAGGAAATTCAAAATAACAAACACATAGAGCCATTGGTCCATAAGGAGCAGATGAACAATGTCTATAAATGTTAATAAATGTCCATAAATGTCCTGGATCATCATTACTGTCCTAACATAACCAATGTCAAAAGGGACACTGTGGGTCTTGTATCAAATGTTAAGTTTTGTCCTCAGGTTTTTGATCCAGCAACAAATAAGCTTTCAATATGTCTGGCCTTCTACCAACAGCTAACAAAGAGATAAGCAGTTCTTGTCCTGCTGCAGTAAAGAGGCTGATAGTTTACTAGAGAGCACTTATAGTATTGTGCAAAATCACAGCTTCTTTGTCTTTCTCCATTGTACAACATTGTTTTTGCTAATATCATTCCATCTTCCTCAAAAAGTCTTACAGAGCTGCTTTTGCCTTTTTCTTTCTTAACTTCTATTGTTTTTTTTTCCGTCTTTACCAAAAAATATGTGCCTGGACTTGTAAAATTTCACCTCAAAGTCACAGTAAGCTTCAGAAGGAAACCAGAACGTTATGTATGAGTTTAACCCCGGTTTATAATCTCTGCGTTTTAATCCTCTCCAGATCACACAGCCACTTCTTATTATTTGTTTATCACATTCAAACACATTCTAACACAGGCGCACATGTAAACGATTATCACGGAAAGTCTTTGATGCACTGTCACCGTATCCTTCTTCATGTGTGAGAATTTCAAAGTTGATTCCAATTTGAAGCAGGGGTCTCGACCTCGTGATCAGCTGCTGTAGTGCTGCGTTGTGATTGGCTGAGAGGGAGCAGTGACATCATCGGTGGGTTTGGATGGGTGATGCAACCGCGCTGATGTAGCTGAAGATGTGGGATTTAAGTGCAAACAAAAAGAAGCGTAAAAATGAAATTGAGAATCAGATTTGTATTGTCGTGATATTTCTCCAGCAGCAAAATAGTTACAGCCTAAAATAGTGGTAAGAGAATGAGTGATAACCAGAATAAGGCTGAAAATATAACTGATTTGAATAAGAAATACACTCTTAAGATTTGTCAGAAATTTGATGTGAAAGAGACAAAATATGGAGCGAAAGGGGATTACAAAAAATGACAGGAATTAATAAAAGAAAAAAAATATGTGATATGGAAATAAAAGGGAAACTATTTTGGGAAGCCAGGCTGCTGTATAGAACATGTCCTACATATACAGTATTTCTCTAGCACTGCATTTTTGGTATGAATGTTTAAAAAGTTAAAACATGTACATATGAATAGATTACCTCAAACATTTACCGCACATTTAAAAACCTAACCTATAGCATAAGCGTTGGGTTTTCTCGTAGAAATTGAAGATTCTCTGCAGAAATGCTTGAATACTTTTTAATATTTTCTCCCAAAATGCTATAGTTCTCAGATAAAAATTAAAATAAATAAAAACCGTTTCCCAGAAACCAGTCCTTTTTTTGCTTATTGTCAGTCCTCTTTGCATTTTCAAAAAAAAATTTACAAAATACTTGCAGTCTTTGCTAATTGCTAATTGTGAACACAAAAATGTCTGCGTGTTATAGCTTCAGGAAATAAAAGTACAATCATCAGCCATGCTCTCCTTTATTGTGTTGTTGAGATGTGATGTCACAATCTCTGCAGAAAGAGTATATTATATATTACAATTAAAGTTTACTTATGTGGCGCTTTTCACAGACTACAGATTATCAACCATTATAACTGAAATTGAACTGGAGAGATCAGATAATACATTTTTCAGAGAGGAATGATTAGTGCCAAGTTCATTCCATTAAAAATGCTAGTTCCACAACAAATAATTCTCTTTGATTTGAGTATTTGTTGTTTCTATGGGCTGGTTTGACATTACCTGGCCGGGATAACCTTGCCCTCTGCTTACATATTCATCAAGTCGCAGTTAGCGGGCAAGAAAATATAACAGTGTTTTTCTCACATCCAAACACGGACTCTAGATATAGGCTCGGCTTTAAGAAAAAATCAATGGGGGAAAAAATCAATAGTTTAAAACGTGGGATGTACGTCATTTCATGTTGTAAATGTATAATCAATAAGTAACCTATACCCTGGATGTAACCATGGGCCATGTGATAAAATGTGGATAAATGTCCTCTGTCCTGCAATTGGAGCCCATAAAGAGACACTGACAGCTTTCATAGACATTTACCATTACAGCGATTGTGTGGAATATCAATGATTCTATAAGCATAAGGCTTTACAACACAACTGCATCTGGAAATAGCATTAAAATAGACTTAGTCACGGATTTTAACAATGTATAGTTGATCTCCTTTGTTGTTTACGCACCCAGTTTTTATAGTGTTTCTTCCATGTTTGAGTAATTGATGTTTTCTTAAGCAAGACGCCATTGTTCTTCCTCCTCCCTTTTCGCTCCTATGGCCGTGTTTTAACTTCATTTGTTCACCGATTGACTGAAATCTTTGCATGGAAGAAGAAAAGTCTGCTGATCGCTAGCTTCATCTGTTAGCGATCTGCTGGGCCTTCGACGTGACTATGCTTCAGTGGATGTTGCGCAGTCTTGCTCAGTTCAATCGATTTTCTAACATAAATCTAGTTTTGTTTTGTATTTATAGCTTTAAAGGTACTCTGTGTAATTTTTACAGTTGCTCCAAATGAAAAAAACATGTTTACCAATGACAAATGTGACCTTTTTAAGAATATTTACTTCCACTGTGTTTTTAAATTGTTGTCAGAGACTTAGAATTTGACTTATAAATGTCTATGAAGCTGGAAGACTCACCATGTCGATGCGCCATCTTCAAATACAGTGGTTGATGAGGGACAAAAAGGATGATGATCGGGAGTTCCTTCGAAGCTACCGTAGCTTGTAATATATTATCCCAAAGCTAGATGAGAGTATAAACTACACAGTGTACCTTTAGGGAATGAGGATTCGAACAGAAAATGAAATGGTCTTAAAAACTGGTTTGAGGAGCATGATGAGTTTGTCTGTGCTACTATGGGACGACCTGGGGGATTGGTTCATAATTTCTGGATTTTTGTGTAAAATACTGGATGAATAGGATGTTTGGAATAAGAAAATCAAGATCCTTATCAGAGATCCATTTATGTATCATCTTTGGAGGTAAAACAATAGTTCCTGGTTTGATTACAGTATTTTGTCTCTCATTGGTCCATTTAATGCCTCTCTCTCCTCCTTAGTAAGTAAGTAAGTAAGTAAGTAAGTAAAGTTTATTTATAAAGCGCTTTTCACAGATAAAAATCACAAAGTGCTGTACAGGACAGTGGGCAAATACAAACAATATAAAATACACTTACACACATTACACATTTTATGTACTTAAAAACTTAGTGGGGTTGGGGGAGGTGGGTTGCAAGTAAGATGGTGTGTGAGAATAATTATTTTGATATTTACAGATTTAAAACGTGTTAAATGTTAGCGCTGCACAATTTCAGTGTCCGCAATTAGCACAGTGCAAGGTCTGCAAATATCGTTTTCTTTACACAACAGCAATTGCAATAATATTTGGTGTGGGGTGAGAATTCTGGTTTATTGATTTCATATTGTAAGTTGACAGAAGTGAATAGACTTTTGAACGATATTTTTCTAATTCTCTGAGTGTCTTGTTTCTGTTTGAACTAAGACCAAAGCATTTGTTCCACTGTTTTAATAAAGTCGAAACAAGATCATTCAGAATACAAAGCAAATTAATCTTGAGAACTTGTTTTGGACCATTTTTTTTTTTTTTTTTGCAGTGTAGCAGAAATCAATAAACCAATCCCCCCCGATCGCTCAGCCCACCAACTTACCATAAATTCAATTAGTGGCTCCGGGACACAGTGCAGGAAATAGTTGTAGAAATGTTTGATAGAATAATTGATGTGAGATGCAGGTTCTGGTAAAGCCTGAGTCACAGCAACTTCTAATTGAATCATTTTCACACAAGCAGATGCACTCAGATCTGCAGATGGAGGAGGCTTGTTAGCACAGGGCTCTCTGCTGCGGCTTGAAAGAGTGTAAACAAGAATAAAGATATGTTTAAGTTTTGGCAGGTGGGGAAAAATCTCTGTGCAAATGTTGTAATTAGGTGCTATAGTTACAACCTAAAATAGTGGTAAGAGATTGAGTGATAATAGAGATAAGAAAGATAAGAATGAAAGTGAAATAT